AAAGAAAAAAAAAAGAGAGAAAGACAAAGACACACACACACACACACACACACACACACACACACACACACACATTGAGGACTTTTATCCTATATTACCTGGTGGGCCCAAGAACCACAAGGGTTATCATACAAGTTTGGTAGGAGAGTGAGAGTCAGAGAGAGGGAGATGATGATGAAAGCCAAGGGAAGGACAGAGATATAGCAAAGTCACATCGGAGTGATGGCACAGGTTGGGGTGATGCCACGACTGGAAGGAGATCCCAAGCCACAGAAACTCGGCCTCCACAAATGAGAAGGAACAGGAATGGATTCTTGGCCTGAACTTCCAGAAGGAATGCAGTCCTGCCAACACTTTGATCTTAGCTCCCTAAGACCTACTTAAAGAATTCTGACTTCTACAACTCTACAATAATAAAAGTTGTGCTGTTTCAAGCCATCAGGTTTGTGGTCATTTGTTATAGCAGCAAGAAGAAACAGATACAAACTTACTGAGTGGTCCTGATCCCCTGGGTTTTCCTTCTGTCTTGCAAGTATCTTTTACATGTCCTTAATTTGCCCCATATTTCCTTTTCTCATAGGCCTGGTCTCTCTCTTTTGTAATTGCTCTTCTAATTATCTGTTTCCTTATTGGATGTGAGCTCCCTGAGGGCAAGGAATTGTCTTATTCACTTTTGTGTCTGAGTTCCGGGTGTAGAGCTGAGTATGGGAGAAGAACACAATCTGTGGATTGAATGAACTAGTCAAATCCATGCCAGAGGGGGAATTTTCAAGTAGATCAAAAGGATCACATGGATCAAAAGGAATGGTGTCTGCCGTGTCTGGCTTGGTGAGATCTGGGCGTCACCCTTTGATGATACCAATGAAGTTGAAAATGGCTTATGATGGAATGTAAAAAAGGATCCTTTTATCCAGCAGCTCCTTGGTCCCCTTCTTTTCTTTCCCTGCCGCCTTCCCTTACACTGGGTCTGCTGAGTGCTTGACAAACATGTTCCTAGAGATTTAAAAGCCCATACAAAGAAAAAGGGCTGAAGAAAGAACAGGAGCATGTTCTGGCTGCAACTTCTGTCATGTCACTGATCACTGGAGTTGAGTTAGCTGATGGTGACAGGAGAATGCCCATTTCCTCTCTCACCAGGGTAGTGACAGCCCTCTCCAAAACACATGTTAGGTTGAAAGATTGGCTTTCTCTGACAGAGGAAGGCATTTCAATAAAGAAAATTAAAATCGCATGGCCTATACCCCACATAATTGAAAGCAGGGATTTGATAGATATTTATATGTCCATGGTCACGGTAGCATTATTCATAATAGCCCAAAGTAGAAACAACACAAATGTCCATCAACAAAATAGAAAACAATTCTTTGAAGAGACAAACAGATTCAGTATTCAGTATGAATATTACTCAGCCTTAAAAAGACTGAAATTCTGCCAGGCTCAGTGGCACATGGCTATAAAATCCCAGTGATTTTGGAGGCTGAGGCAAGAGGGTTCTAAATTTTAGGTGAGCCTCAGCAACTTGGTGAGGCTCTAAGCAATTTAGTGAGATCCTGTCTCAAAATAAAAAGTAAAAAGGGCTGGGGTGGTGGCTCTGTGTTTTAATGCCCTTGGGTTCAATCCCCAATATAAAAAAAAAGAATGAAATTTTAATATGTGCTACAACATGATTCAACTTTAAATATACTGTGCTAAGTGAATACTCCAGATATGAAAGCACAAATATTATCAAATCTACTTGTACCCAGAGTAGACAAATTTATAGAGATTAGAAAGTAGAATGGTGGTTGCCAGCGGTTAGGGGAAGAGAGAATGTGGCTAATTGTTTAATGGGTAGAGAGTTTCAGTTCATGAAGCTGCTAGAGTTCTAGAGCTAGGTGGTGGTTGTTTGCACAATGATGTGAATGTACTCAATGCCACTGAACTGTACACTTCAAAGTGGTTAGTTAAAATGGTAAAATTTATGTTGTCTATATTTTTCCACAATAAAAAATGTAAAAAAAAAAAAACCCATAGAAACCATGGTTTTGTGGGTTTTCCCACATTTCATTGATTTTTGGTCAAGGGTACACACAAAATAATCAAAAGGTGCAGAAGAATTAGAGGAGATTACCTATCAATGTGGTTCCCATTTTGTTTTTCTTCCTCTTTCCAAGTGATGGTGAGAAAATCTTATTTAAATAACACTCAAGTATGTCCTCCTCCTAAGTAATTTTTTCCTGTGACTTTTGCACACTAGAAAAGAAAACATGTTTAATAAGTCAAGTGCGTATTTGCAAAAGTTACCAAATAAACTTGGTGACCGTGGCAACTCCTTGGAGTTATGTTTGGTAAACTGGATTTTGCAATTCATGAACACACATTGAATAACACTGCTTGTCCTGGGTCCCCTTACTTCACACAGGAAGTATGTGACCTCCAGGTCCCCAGGCAGTCTGAAAGGGAGCTTTGATTGAAACAAAGCAAGCAGTCGGATTCCTCTAGGTGCAGGTAATTTTTGTGGCTGATAGTTGTGTTGAACTTTTGAAAAGCAAATACCACCTGCTTACTCTGGGAATGGGAGTTTGGGTGGAATGAACACAGATTCGATGGCCACATTCCTTGAGCACTTGGCAGGCTTAAAAGGTGATTTCTAGTGAGTCATTTGGTCATTCTGTGCCTGCATGCATGGGGGCAATCAGGGTTTGAAGTGGTCCACATTGCACCTGCCAGACTTCCCTATCTAGCCAAAATAAGGCTTTTTTACAATTTGGATGGCAGGCGTGGTGGGAATGGAATCATGTCCTCTAAAGTAATTTAAAATAAAAGCAATAACAATCATAATATCTGGGGGTGGAAGTGGGGGAGTTTTTATAAGGAATCCCAATTAGATTGTGCTTTTTTACATTGAGGACTATTCAGAATTTTTTGAAATATCAAATTGCACTTATTTCAAGGCTTTCTTTCTTTCCTTCCTTCCTCCCCCCCTTCTTCCTTTCCCCTCCCCTTTTCTTTGTCTTTCTTTGCTTCAGTTTTGCAATTCATGCGCCTGGGCACACTACCTTCCATACACCCCCACCCCCACCCCTGCTGTTAGGTCAGCAAATGCTGACTGACCAAAAAAAAAAAAAAAAAGTCTAATGAAACCCTATCTGTCCTACTGTGCCACCATGACCTCAGGCTAAGGGGAGGTGGGTGTAGAAAGTTGGTAAATAAATAGTTGTTCAAAATTACCTGAAAACAGAAAAGCCAGGGAAGGTGTGGAGGTGACCCCACCCCCAGTATTTCTTTACTGCCAATAGCTCTCCCCAGTTCCTACATGCACAGACCTAATTTCGAGCTTCTCGTAGGAAAAAATGACCTGGGAGCCCAGAAGAGGAGAAAGTTACATTATTGCCTCTACCTCTTTGAGACAAGTGTGTGACACAGTGGGGTGAGGGCTCTGTGGTTCTCTGTGGGAAGCATCTTGCTTCTTGAGAGCACAGTCAGGCCTGACTGAATGGACAGGTAGGGAGTGCCCTCCCCAGGGTTGTGAGGATGTGGCCTTTGGTTTCTTCCTAGGTTGGCTATATGATTGACATGATAGGAATAAGGAGATCACATGCTGTCCTTAAGCAAAGATTGATCAATGACTATAAAAATTCTTCTATTAGTGATTGAAATGTTGCTAAATATTAGTAATAGTAATAATTATATCTAAGAGGCTGGCTAAGTGGTTTTCTTTTTGGCAAGGGGTAGGGGGTGGGGTGCTGGGGATTGAACTCAGGGGCACTCGACCACTGAACCTCATCCCCAGCCCTATTTTGTATTTTATTTGGATACAGGATCTTACCGATTTGCTTAGTGCATTGATATTGCTGAGGCTGGCTTTGAACTCTCGATCCTCCTGCCTCTGCCTTCAGAGCCACTGGGATTACAGGTGTGTGCCAGCGAACCTGGCTAGCTAAGTGTTTTTATGCATCACATTTTTTTACTCCTATGATGCACTACTGTTCCATTCTTTTTAAGCATGTGAGATAGGCAATGCCGTTATTATTGTTGTTGTTACTGTTATTTAGGTAATAGTAACTCACTGTGTTGAGGTTGCCTCCAACTTTTGGTTCTTCAGTCTCAGCCTCCTGAGTAGCTGGGACTGCAGGAGCATACCACCATGCCAGCTAGGTTACTATTATTATTATCTGCAGGATATAGGGTATTTCCTGTTAAATAGGCATATTAAAATCCTGAAGAGATTATTTAAACAGACAGGGACTTCTATATCAGGAGGCCCCAAACTGTAGGTGGTTTAGGCTCTAAGAAAGATGAGGATTGGGGGAGCTTTTACAAGGTAAGTGCGGAAGCACTGCAGAGAAGATACCTGACTGTAAACTGGAGCAGTGGCCTCCAGTCCCCAATCAGAGGTTAGTTGGTGGTATCTGATGGATAAAACAGGCCATGACCATTTATGCTGAGCTGGGTTTCTGTTGGCTTACTCAAGATCCCAGGATGCTAGAACCGCCTTAGTCTAATGACCTCTCAATTAATTATTTTAACACTTCATTTTACATGTTAAAGCTACAAGACATTATTTGCCTAAGGGCAGGGTGACTAAGAGGCAGACTCTTCATAATATGTCTACCTATGGTCTCCTCCTTTTACCCTTTTCAACACTGTTGGTTCTTATATTTTACCAAGAAATAACTTGATCCCATTGTGAATGTCGGGAGGAGGCTCTCAGGGACTTGCTGTGGAAGAAGAGAGGAAAGCAGGTTTCTTTGAGCTAATCCCACAGCCAACTAAAGCAAGCAGGCCTTCCTTCCCACAGTCTGGTTACTCTGATGGCATAAAACAGGCCTACTTTAATTTAATTGGGCTGAGGGGGTGACAGTAAAAAAGAACCATTTTGAGGTGTGGTTTTCTTGAGGTGGCATGGAGGTATATAAAGATTTGTTTTAATAGCATTTTAGTTGGGCAATTATAGAAGTTGAGCAATTCTGTTTTCTGGATAAAAGGAAAAGCCAGCATTGCTTTGTGAAGCCAGGGTGCTGGGCTACCAGAGGGTTAACTGCCAGCTGGAGAAACACCAGCTCAGAGTCCCTGGGAGACCAGCCCCACCTGCATCCCCTTGAGTCTATGCTGATTATTCTCTGCTTCTTCCTTCTCTGCTCTGTGCCCTGGGAGCCTGGCTTTGAGGAATGCATCTTTTTGGCCCTGTCCACCCTCTGCCTTCTGGGAGCATTTGGCCAGTGGGAGGTACCAGCAAGAGCCTGGAGGGCAAGAGGAGAGAGAAATTGGGGTACTCCTTCTCGAATTGCTCTTTGCTTTGTTGAGATGTCTCTAAAAGTTGCTGTTTCCTCTTTGAAGACAGTTCCACCAGGCTGCCCCGTCTCCAAGTTTCCGAGTGCAAAATGAACTCAGGTATGGCTATTTCTCCTTCAGGTCTCTTCAGCCCCAGGGGTTGTAATGGCTTTGCTGTTTCTAGGGTCCTCCCTATTCCCGTGCTTTCAAGTAACTGTGACTGCACCTACTAAGCAGTCTCTTCACTGACAGTTTTTCTCCACCTGTTTTTGACAAGTATTTCTCGCTAGGACCTTAAATAGGCAGTCAATCTCATCCATAATTTTCTTGCTTGAATGGAAGGTACACAGAAATCACCTAGGGTTCCTGTTCAAGGACAGATTTGAACTTAGAAGCTATGGGATAGGACCCAAGATTTCTTGTCTCTGACAGGTATTCAGGTGATGCTGAGGTTTCTGCTCCATGGACCATGCTTTTTTGCAGAAAGGATCTATATATAGTCCTTTTCTTACTCATTCTTTGGTTATGACCGTTGGTAAGTATGACTTGAGAAAATTTGAAAGCATTGAGCCTCACTCAGTTCAAAACACAGTAAGTAAAAATGTAGGTGGTCCCTACTCATCCTGAAAGTGAGAAATAGATAATCTGCTTTTCAGGTTTGACTTTCCAACTCCAAAGGTGTGTGTGTATGTGTGTGTGTGTATGTGTGTGTATGTGTGTGTGTGTGTGTATGTGTGTGTATGTGTGTGTGTGTATGTGTATTACACATGAGCAATTGAAAGATTCCAGGTCCACTATTGCTGAATAATTATAAGTTATTTCAGAAAATCTTCTTAGCCTGAGCACAGGGATGGGAAAGGTGGCATAGAGATATGGATCATGGGTTTTTTGGGGAAGACCAGGGACCAGCAAACTAAGGCCCATCTGCCAAATCTAGCATGTCATCCAGTACTTGCAAAGAAAACTTTGTTGGAACCTAGCCAGGGTCGTTTGCATATGTATGGACTGTGGTTACTTTTGCCCTGCAGTGCAGAGATCACATGGCCAAAGAAGCTACAATATTTGCTACTTGGCCTTTTCACAGAAAAAAAAAGACAGCTGAAAAAGATTGACTTAGACTATTCTGCAAGAATTAAGATCTATGAGCAAAAAGGAGTCTTAGAAATCATCTAATTTGCAGATGAGGAAGGGGGTTCCATATTGTTTCAGCTAGCTTCAACGCTGTATTTTTTTTTTTAAAGAAACATGGAAAAAAAAACTGGAGGAAATTTGAAGAAAAAAAATAATTATTAATTGTTCTTTGAGGCAAGCCAGCCTAATGACAGAGGTTGGAAAGCCAAAGGTGTGACAATAATGACCTCTAGGTTATTAAAAAAAAGTAGCCTGCACTCTTAGTCTCTATTTCTACATAGAAAAATTTCCCTAAATTTAAGTGGATCTGATGTTGGAACTAGGATTCCAAGGGAGGTCATGGCCTGGAGATCTTTAAAACAGCATAAGAACAGCTGCTGTAAATGACTTAGGCTAAGATTGGCAACCGTTCTCAGGCAGCATCTGAACTTGTCATGCATTTATTCATTACTAAACAGGAGGAAGTCAGGGGACCCAAGGTGGGGGTGGGGTGATTAGGTGCCTGTGCACACAAACACATACACACTCACACACAGGAGTATTCTGTTCTCCACATCCTGACCACATGAAAAAATCTACTTGAGGTCACTGGTGTATCATTTGGTATATTATTTGGGATGAAGGACCCTTTGGAACTCAATGATTCTGAAAGCAGTCAGGGAGCTATTACTTTAGGCCTTAAAAAATCTTCAGTAGTAATTTGAAGCACTTGAAAATTCAAGGTAAAAAATGTGCAAAATTTTGATTTGTCACAGTACATGTCATGGCTTAACACTTACTGCTAATGGAAGTCAGTTACAAAATTATTAGACTTTTTTTTTTTTTTTGCATGTGGAAGGTGTTGCTCTGGGATACCCTAAGCTTTTGGGGTTATTCCACTCCCTCTAGACTAAAGAGGCAATGTACAATGTTGCTATTTTGATTGTGAATTCAGAAGAGGTAAGAACTATGTATTGATTTCTGTATTTTGCCCTTAGCATAACATTGCACATTGTATATGCAGAATAAATGTCTACTTTATTGGGGTGGGAGTGGAGCAGGTATATTAGATATGCACTAAATTCAGAGAAACAAGAAAAGAGATCATGGTGAGCTAATTAAAACAATTACACTGGCTCTGAGACAATGTGCTCCCTGGTCTAAGGCGCCTCTGCCCTTCCCTTGGCATAGCAAGGTCATCCTAGATCTGCTGACAGGTAGCAATTGCTTAAGCAGCACATTTCTGCCGGTTCACACTGTCTTGACAATAATGCTTGGAATTTATATTGAGCCTTTCATCTTTGAAGTTCAATGTTCTAACTCTAATCTTTATGACTTCTTTGTGAGATAGGAGCTAGTTGTTTTTATTTCATTTTTTACAGGTGGAGGTGGGGAATGTGATGGACATGCAGGTTCAATGACCTGCTTAGGGGCCCCCCCGAATGTCAAGGCCAAGGTGAGAATGGAGCTGGATGATCTGCAGTCCAATATTATCAAACCCTTTATTTTCTTTTCCTCAATAACAAATTCTGTAAACGCAGCATGTCTTTCTTTCCCTCTCTCCCTCCCTCCCTCCCTGTCTCTCTCTCTCTCTCTCTCTCTCTCTCTCTCTCTTTCCCTTTCTTTCTCCCTAGGAAAGAGACATTTGCAATGATTTTTTTTCTAGCTTGTTCCAAATATGTTTAGAGTCAGAGAGATGGAAATCAAAGAAACTGCAAAGTCTATGTTTTCTAAAGTCTTTTCTAAAGTACTTCTAATGTCTTTGGTCCAACTGCTGGATTTAATTAGAAACTTAGAATATAGTTATCATCCATACTTTCCCCCCTCAGCCTGGCTTTTCTTTCCAGCTGGTTTTATTTCCTTAAAGTAACTATTCAAATGTCTCTGTTACAACTCACAGGCTTATTATGCCTTGGTGATTACCAACCAAACTAAGACTTTAGGCAGATTAACTTCTCTCTGATCCTAACACAGTCCCTAAAGATTGACTCAGCAACTATGATTGAAAACTCAGGACTTTATAATTAAAGCATGGTGATTACTTGGAAGACAATGTAGAATTGCAATACAATTAAAAAAAAAAAACGAGTCTCTGTAAACAATGATAAAACCTAAGGTAGTCATATACACAGAAGAAATAATATCTGTTAGTTGAACAAATAATACCAGTTTCCTTGAAGTATCTCATTAGCATTTATCAAGAAGTTAACGGTCTCAAAACACTTGACAGTTAATCCATAGAACATCCTTTGTAGATAATTGAATATTCTGATCTGGGCTTTGCAGAGGAGACACACCAATAAGCTACATGACTTGACCGGAGGACAAGACAGGAAGTGTTGTTGAACTGGGCAATCGATAACAGTCTGTCCCCTCAGACAGATAACTCTCTGTGCCTGAGCACTGCTCCTCCAGCTATTCATTTTCACATTTTCAATTCAAATGCAAGCAAGAAGAGAATTTGTTTTCACTTTAACAAGCTTACATTGAATGAGAAACAAAAATGCAGAATTAACATTAATTTCAATTAAAATGAGTCCTGTTAGGCATGGTGGCACACAACTGTAACCCTAGCAGCTTTTTTGAGAGGCTGAGACAGGAGAATCGCAAGTTTAAAGCCAGCCTCAGCAACAGCTAGGCTATAAGCAACTCAGTGAGACCCTGTCTCTAGTAAAATACAAAATAGGGCTGGAGATGTGGCTCAGTGGTCTAGTACCCCTGAGTTCAATCCCTGGTACCGGAAAAAAAGAGTCCTTGGCTGCTGTTAGTCTTATTTGTGGAATCCAAGGAGGACATCACTTATTCTGGGTGATTCTGAAGGCACAGGAGCCCCTCTGCCATTTCCCTGCATGGGTTCCTAGGATTCCTTTGACATTTAAATGTGTTTGTTTGAGGTAAGACTTTGTTACTGAAGAAACATCTTGTTAGATTTCATACAGTAACAATGAGATCTTGAGAATGTAGGAACTGTCTTGGGACAGCAGAAAACATTGTCTAATAGACATGGTTTCTGTATTTGGAGGCCACTGTGCCTTGTTGTAGATGTGAAGTGTTACAAAAGTTATTTGAAGATAAAATGAGCCATTTCTATCTTTTGCTAACTTATATCATGGCATTCTTGCCCCTTAAAGAATACCACTCAATAACATTTTACATTGATAATCAGTGATAACACAGAGAGATTGAAATAGATTTTGTAGAAACAAAGTGTTTGAATCCAGACATACTCAATGTATTGAGATGTTAGATGAGTAACAAAAGACAAATATTTTCTATGTAGGGAAAAGGATGAAAATTTAAGAGAAAAATAAAACTTCCTTTATTGATTTCTACCCAAAGACTTTTTTTTTTTTTTTTAATGGGGCCAAAATAGCCTTCCATGTTATTCAGGATCTGAATGAGGGCAAGTCAGCTCAGGGGTGTTAATGATACCTACCACCCAAGAAAACCCCAAGGGGAGGCCTTTGGCTGAGGGGTGAGGGAACAGTATTGAGAGCATGTCACACAACAGCAGGAACTTTAATTTTTAAATTATTTATCTATTTTTGTGGTGTTCCAGATCAAACTCAGGCCCTTGAGCTTGCAAGTGCTCTACCACCGAACTACTACCCTAGTAGTAGTAGTAGGAAGATATAAGGAATGCATTCTCAGTGAAGAAAACAAACAGAATTGGTTTTGAGTTTCACATATTTTCACCAAGAATAATGACATAGTCAGAGATAATGCTTTGATCTAAGTTTGTTATGAGATGTAAATGATTGGTTTTAGATTCTTTCCTTCTAGCTGACTTTGACGAAAGGCAAGGTTAGACACAACAGTCGAGTCTGGAAGAATGATGAGGGCAGAACCAACGTGGTTTTCGATGACTTTAAAATCTTTCCTAGCCCTGGGTCTGATGCTCTGTTTTAACATATATATGATCCACCGAAGTCAGTGTTTCTACTTTTAACATGTGCATGATATTCATGTCAAAGATGATTTCAAATTCTTGCATACTACCCATCTCTAATGTGATAACGGTTTTAGCATTTGGAATGTTGTAATCACTTATTAAAAGCTTCTTTGAATCATCCTTTAACAAAATGCAGAGAGAGATTTTTTTCAAAGGAAAAAAACCCACTCTGAAGCAAAAGCTGGGGAGAATTTGAAACTAAGCCCAGTCGGCGTCTTGCTGTTTAAGTCTTATCTATCAGAGTCAGGGATGAAAGGCAGAAGCAGGGTCAGTCTCTTTCCTGTTTGTTTATTTCCAGCCCTCTTGTTCTGTCTGTAGCTTTGCCCCCAGAGCTCCTCAATTGTATTTATTTTCCATCTGCTTCCTGCTCTCTAGACAGTCTGAGACAGCTTGCTCACTAGCCAGCAGTTCAGACAGAGAGACATAAATATTGTAGTGTGCACAAAGACCATGTGAGGCAGGCAGGGACCAGGAGCAGCAATGAAGACACTGGCATCACAGGTTCAATGCTGGGTGAGACTAAGAAATAGCGTTTCCGAAGTTGGGCAGGGCTGGGTATCTAAGTGGAAGATGAGTTAATGTTTTGTAGGGGAAAGGCTGTTGGAGACATGTGCTAGCTTCATTTCAGGAAGAGTTTCTTCCTGACCAAATCTTTTGTTTGACTCCTTTCCTGAAAACTTACAGTATTTGGAGAAGATCATGTTATCAGAATCATCTCTTAGGGTGTTCCCTCTACATACATTTTGATCATTGGTTTCAGACTTGATAGGACAGCCTAGTAAAGAAAAAGAAAAACAAATATAAAAAGTGTGTGTGTGTGTGTGTGTGTGTGTGTGTGTGTGTGTGTGTGTGTGTGTAGGAGAGAATAGGCTATTTTATAGTTGCCAGTTTTTATTTTTGCTAAGTAAGAACATGGAAAAGAAATTACCTTCTCTTCTCATCATTGTTTCACACATGAAAGGACAATTTGACCTTGAAGAATAGGAAGTAGGTCCAACTACTTAAGAAGCACTGTTCAGCAACTTTAAACCCACATAGTTTGAAAAGATAAATTTAAAATTTTTGAATGGAGAAAAATGATCACATGATTTTTTAGTTAATCATATTACCTTATAGATGCTTGTTTTTGTGGCAAGTTAGTCAGTTGGATGATTTGTGTTCTACAGTGTGAAGGGGAGCCCCAAATGTCCAGCTTCTGGGAACACTTTAAAGTCATAGTCAGTGTTGCAAATCTTTTCTCCCAAACTATGCAGATGCAAATAGAAGCATTGATCCTAGTGGTATTTCATTGACTTTGGAAATATCCTAGGCATGGTAATACTTGTAGATACCTGAGGCTGTGAAATAGTTTGGAACCATGTTCACACTGGTAATTATTCTTATCCTTCAACTCTGGTTCAGGGTAGGGGGGAGCTAGTCATGGAGGAGAAGATGGGCAAAGAAGGAAGGCAGGAATCACCTTTTCCTTTTCTTTCCTTTTTTTTTTTTTGTCCTTGGTGCATATTGATTATATGGAATAACAGGTTCAGTCTTGCTTTGATGGATCTGAACAATTAAATGTTGACTCCAACCTTGAAAACCAAACCAAAACTTTACAAAACCAAAATCTTTCAGTTAGCAGGACCTGTTCTGTGAGGACAATCAGGGTAACATTTGTTGTTTTTTGAACATGCTCTCAAAGGGCTGCAGAATCCCTCTCATCCTGGTAAATAGTTTTCTTTATATTCTTTCAGTTTTAGAGATTTTAAGAGCTCCTGAGGTGCCCTAGATTGGCACCCAGATAAGATGCTCCTGTGGCCCATTCCTTAACAAGGTGCAAATTCTGTGTGAGCCAGCAAATGTCAAGAAACAACAGCCTTTCCCCTCCTCAGCTCTCCTGCTGCTCCTCCCTGGGTTGGTAAGAGCAGGAAGTGGTCCACCAGGAGTCCAGCCAGTGGGGAATGTGTGAAGAGAAGCAGAGAGACTTGCAAGAGACAGGTCTCAACACTGTGGCCCAGAACAGAGTTGACAAAACTTTATCTGCAAGGTAGGATCTGAGATTAAGGTTGCAATTTCTATCTACTTTAGCCCTAGACCAAGGTTTGGGAATTACTAACAAATATTATTATGTCCCCTCAAACTTCATATGTTGAAGTTCTAACCGGAGTACCTTAGAATGTGTCCTTATTTGGAAATAATAATTGAAAATGTAATTAGTTGAGGTGAGGTCATGTCTTTTGACTTTGTTTTCTGGGCAAGCCATGACTATGCTCTTCATTCTCCATTTCTTCTGCTGATGTGGCTATAAAATGCTTCTAAACCAAAGGGATGTTCTGGGAATTGGCATAAAAAAATGAGGACTTCCTTTTGACTTTACATCAGATTTCCCTTCAATGCTGATGAGGTTAAGACATAGCTGGGTGAGACTAAGGCCTAGAGGCACTTGTGATTAGACTAAGGGTTACCCAGGCCAAATGCAGAACATCAGAAATGGTCTGTGAAATTCTCTTGGTTGTAGAGCCTGGGAGAATATTCTAGGTATGACATGATTAGCCAGAATGAAGTTCTCATGAGTCTAACAACAGCAATTCAAATGGAGGGGAAGTAAAAGCCACACCCAGATGTACATTTCTCCTAGGAAGGAGTTTCCTATGCTTGTATGAATTGGACTTAACCCAGATGCACAGCTTATAAACTTCAAAGAGCTTTGCAAACATTTGTCAACTTCCTGAACATGCATGGGAGAGGTAGCCTTGTTATCCTTGTTCTTCAGAATGGCACCTCAGGCAGGAAAGGGGGTATTTTAACGACTGTAGTGTACCCTGCTGCCAAAGTTGTTCCCCAGACAGGTTTTTTCCTCTTCCTTATGCTTTCAGGTGCTTCAAGGCCTGCGATGGAGACGCAGCATGGGCAGAGATGGGAGCTAGAGGAAGAAGGAGGACAGAGTCAGAGAGTTGGATTGTGAGACCAAGAGACAGGCTTTCCAGTGTTCAGGGAAACACTGGCAACATGGCTCTATCTTTCTCTGAGGTTAGCATCTTTAATTATTAAACGCAGAAGCTTCGTCAACATTTGGACTCCTTGGAGACAACCAGCAATTATCTTAAATTCTGTTCCCACTGCCACCCCTCTCCAACTTCAAAGGAAACTCATTACCAGGCCCCAAATTCTTCAAATTACTTTCCCATCATCTCAAATGATGTTTATAAGTAGTTCATAATGAGAGTCTAATCTCACCCTTCAGATTACTAAAGAAGCTCACAGAAGATGAACTGTGATAAAATTATTCCAAGTCGGGGTGATTATCTTTGGATCATTCTTCCTGAGAAGGTTTTATTCACTGGTTTGTTAAAATTTTAGAAGATATTATATGCACATATATTTACAAAAATAATTTATACAAACTTCTCCCTGACTCTTATTTGCAAATTAACATCCAAATGAGACGTCTTCTCAAAATGAACTATTTTATGTCTTGCAGATGAATAATTTAAAAATGCATATTAAATCATAAAGAATATGATGAGCTTGTCTTTGAGGTTGCCAGTAAAATATAGTTGCCTTTGTTTTCTGGAAGATTGTATTTCTTTTAGGAGAGACCAGCACATGTCAGAGATTTCAATGTTAATAGACAGCCCTGTTCATTAAATTAAGCATGTTTCTTTTTCTTTTTTGGTCAACTTATTTGTTTATTTTATTGCTTCCTCTTAGTTATACATGACAGTAGTTCCATTTGATAAAATTATACAAACATGGTATATTTCTTATTCTAATTAGGAGCTGGTTTCGGTGGCGCACGTCTGTAATCCCAGCTGCCCAGGAGGATGAGGCAGGAGGATCATGAGTTCAAAGCCAACCTTAGCAAAAGTGAGGTGCTAAGCAACTCAGTGAGACCCTGCCTCTAAATAAAATACAAAAGAGGGCTGGAGATGTGGCTCAGACCCATTTTTGTGGGTGGGCATGATGGTGGGGTTCACTTAGGTATTTTGAGATGTGTACTTAGGAAAATTATGTTAGATTTATTCCACTATCTTTCTTATTCCTGATCCCCTCCCTCCCTTTCCTTCCCCTTTGTCTATAATCTACTGATTTTCTCTTCTTCCCCTCCCCTTGTATTGTGGTTTAGCTTTCACATATCAGCAAAAAAACATTCCACCTTTAGGTTTTTAATTGACATCAACAAAAGAAAAAAGTGAACAGAAGAGGCATATAGAAATAGGTACAAAGTTGTCAGTTCTTATGTTTGTTAGCTAGATTTTTCAATAACCATTTACAAGATTATTTCTCAAAAATTTAAATAGAAAGCAAGATGGAGTAGATGGGAAGTTTTTTTCTGGAAATCATTTTTACATTGATCACAAAGTTCTTCCAAGCACAGCAGGCTGACCCTACTCTCCTAGACTTATTTTTTCCAACCTGTTTCCCTTCCTCACAGTAATCACCTGCATTCTCAGTGATGTATCTGGTGGCAGCTACTCTTTGTGTCCTTTCAGGTGGCACAGATCGGGGAGGGGTTGTGATGTAGGTGTATGTGTGAGAGAATAAGAATCTGCCCTTAAGAATTTTAAAGTTTACCTGGATCACTGTGGTATATATACCCGTAATCCCAGCTACTCTGGAGGGCAAACAGGATGATTGCTTGAGCCCTGTAATTCCTGGTCAGTCCAGGCCAACCTGGGCGATTTAGTGGGACCCAGTCTCAAAAAAGAAAAAAAAAAAATCAAGGTTACCTACCTACTAATAATGATTGCAGTAATTAGAATACAAAGTAATTGTGATCATTAGGATATTCTGAGTTTGCAATAGCATCATGAACAAGAAGAATCTGGAATCTGTTACAAGCTAGGAGATCCAAGAAAATTAAGCTGCCTGCATCAAACAGACAAATTTAATGCCCAGTTGTATGATAATCACTGTATGTGTAAAAAAGATTTAGGCAGGTGAGTAGACAGAGAGATGGAACAATGATGGATAGAGGAAAGCTATATCTCAATATAGCCCTCAGATTATGACCAATGTGATTCCTCTCTGCTTGTAGTAGATCTTTCTTATTCTACTTGTTTTTCTAATTCTATGTTAAAGCCAGAAAAGTCACTTGGGGAAACAAGTCAAGAGAGGTTATATTTCACAGAACTATGAAAGAAATGAGATTTAAAATGAAGGTTTAGAAAGACATTGGGAATGTTATAAACCATTCTTTTGCATTTCTGAGTATATATCCTTATCTGTTTAGGACCAGGCAATATAAAAATGGAAACTTTGCCACATGATCCTATTAATTTTTAACTCTGAACTCATGGCATTAAAGACTAAATCACTGAATACAGATAAAGCATGTGCAAGTGCTTTGAAAGTTAATACACTATTTCCAGGAGGAAGTCAAGGGATGTGCAAAAAGGGAAAAAGGGAGATGAGGTAAAGGAGTGAGAAGGCAGGCAGAGGGCTTCCACTTCTGATTGTTCTCTGGGTGCAAATGCAGAGGCAGCCTGCTAGGTCCTGGGCAGCCACATTTTTTAAGGGAGGGGCATTATAAACAGTCAAGTGAGGGCCCTTCCCCAGATGGAAGGGAACTGGAAGTGGAAGAAAACGCAGAATGGAAAGAAAAGAAAAATCTTGTTTGGCGAATAAACCATCTGTAAAATCAGTGATGATATTTCTAGAGTTTGAAGTTTGTGCCTTTCATTCAACCAATTCTGTGGTTCTTTCTTTCTAGGGGTCCCCATTCTAAAAGAGATAAAACAGCCACCACAGTCAACTTTGTAGCAGCTGAATGACGTAAGCGGAGGAGCCCTGGTTCTAGAGTCACAGGCAAGTGGAGAGTAAGGTGTGTGTGCACCATGCGCAGCGACCACTAGTGTTATCCTCACTAAAGAAAACCATACAGTATAAGAGGAGGCTGCAGGCACTTTCTGCTGAGTACTTTGCTAAATACAGACACAATTGCAAGCCCTTCTGCTTCTAGGGTTTCCTTTCTACTTGGATCATATTTGTTTCCTTACCTCTCAGAGAAACCTCTTGCGGTGTGTGAAGTTACAATACAGCATCACCTCCCTTAATTGGTCCTGCTGGTTGGAAAGAGCCTCTTGAATTCCCCAAAGGGCCTGAAGAGCAGAATAAATTGCTTTATCGCCTACATAGTCACTCATCTAATGCTGTGAAATGTTGCCAAAAGAGGGCCTGTAGGGACTTGGAATTATCATTTTATATTAAAAAAAGCATTAGTGGATGTTTATATGTAGGAGATTAGAAGAAAAATATAGTACAAGGCCAAATTCTATTTAGATAAGAATAATTTGAGTATGCTGATTGCAGTGGAGAAGAAATCCTGCTAAATGCTTGTATGCTCTGCCTATGTGAAATCTGAAAATTCCTTCTGCTCCAATGTTTAAGATACTTCTATTATCTTTCTTAATCCCTTTGGGGATCTTCAGGGTCTGTACACTCTGCTTGTTTTCTTAATGCAGAACCCAAGATCTTTGCTATTTTCCTTTCCATCAACGATCCACTCCTTGTTTTTGTTCTGTTCCTCCCTACAGGGTTTGTGGAGTGGTTCTTGGTTTCACCTCTTCCTTGACTTCTCCAAAGATAAACATGCAACCCTGCATCATTTATCAGTTTTGAAACTGATGATAATAGAAATAGCAAATGTGGGAAAATTATAAATGTTCTGACATATGAAGTATTTGAATCATAACTCCAAAGAGCTCTCATAAGTTCTTTAATAATGTCCTCTTTTCTACTTCCGTGGGACCCCAGGGAGAGGTTTGGGAGTGCTCCCAGGTCTCTCCTGCTCAGGGACAGAAGACTGCAGCTCCTCTACTCTAGGGCCTAGCACACAGGTGTTTTAGCACAGCAGTGACCCATGGGTGCCAAAGGTGTTAGGGCGGGGCAGAATGGTCCCTTGCTTGTGTTACTCTGTTTTAAATGTGAGACATGGGCCCTAGCGAGCTGAAGGATTTATCGGAACATCTATTTTAGAACTTGATTATGATGTTGTATCTCCCAGGGAACTAAGCACTTGGCCCAGGGATGAGCTGGGCATGGAGCAGCCACCCCCCTGCTGCAGGGAGACTCCTCCCTCCACCCTCTTTGAATACCAAAGCTTTGTTGTTCTAACCTATTCCTGGTTCTTTCCTCTCTGAGCTGCTTCCCAGAGGAACCTTAGCCCACTGCAGAGTGGCATTTTGCATGGTGCTCTAGCAGACTGAGCATCTTCTAGCAGAGGGTACCATGTAGACTTGTTCCCAGGAGGCTGCTCGACCTCCAACCCCGTAAACTTGCATCAGGCTCAAGCCCCCAGCCCAGGCCCTGAGACGAATGAGCTCTGGCAGTAGATGACAGAAAGTCCGGCTAAAGCAGAGCTCCCCTGAACAGTCCTGGTCTCTGGTTCCTGGTTTTGAAATAGTAATTGGAAGACCTATCTTTTTGGTTTTCTGCCTTCTACTTTATTTCTGAGCAAAAGACTCAACAAACTCTCCCCAAGAACAAAGGTAAGAATTTCCAAGTTCTGAGTTGTAACTTTCCATGAAGGCCTAGAGAGGGACCCTGGAATGGTTGATCCCATCCCAGGCCTGACCCACTTCAGGCATTACTTGATAAACTTCGCAAGCATACTCTTCCACCCATTTCTGGTTATCAGCCTACAAATTCAGAATTCAGTGGGATCTAAGTAGATGAGAGTTTCCTGATTCCAACTTTCACATTAAGAAGATATGTGGCAAATTCTGTGTGATTATTATTTAGAATAGAGCATATCAATTCTGTGAATGTAAAGATACAATTTTGGCTATTACTATTTTTTTTAAAAATTAGAGAAAATTTCTCCTATACACAAAAAAATTCAGATGTCATGAATGTGTTAGACAAAGATAAGAGCCAAACTTGAGATAAGTAAAACCTTTACTCTTTGACAGCTGTTAAGTGTGCATTTGATTTAGAACCTACCGTCATCAGTCGAAACTCACTGCTGTAACTTTCAGTTTCCCAGAGAGTCTTCTATTTGTTATTACATTTTTTTCTAGCTTCTTTTCTTTGAAACTCACCCACCATTTTTCATAACTCCACCCCCATTTGATCTCATCTTTCCCTGTGTCCTTGGAGAGTTCAGAAATCCAGTGACACTATTTACACTTGTGGCATGAAGCATTGCTCACAGCAGGATCTATGAAGTTGACTGTAAACTTAAAGCAATCTTTACGTCCTGCCTGAAGTGAGTTGATTTACGAGTGAGTGTTTGGTGAGTACTCAGAGATCCTCCTCTGCAATGCAAGATCCAAGTGCACTGTGTTATTGCTTTATTTTGTTTGTCTTTTGTAAAACACCTGGTACCATGACAATCTTCACTAAATAAATAATAAATGAAATGAAACACACTTCCTTCTCTATTTTAATAATGTACTATTCATGCATTTTTTTCTCCTAAAACAAAGAATCATTGTAGGAAGTTGCTCTGCCAATATTAGGCTGATATCTTATTGCAGGCAAAGATAAAATAGCATGCCACAGGAAAACTGATAGTCTCTTTTCAAAACAAAGGAGAACAAGGCAATAACAAAATGTGAAAAGCCAAGAAATGGCTTAATGGAATTAATACAAATATGAATGTATGCTCCTTGATATCCTAATACATCCCCTGGTTATAAAATAATATCAAGATGTTTTGAGGAAAATTCAAATTACAGTTTCCCAGTCACTCTATGCTGTTTTTGTAAATCTATTGTTTTTCTCTCGTACGAACCCATCGTAGGGAAAGGCTGACAGAGATGTTTAACAGAGAGCAGAACTGCTGCCAGCCATTTCCAGTGGGAATTGAGCTACCAAATATTTTCCTCAAATTATAGAAAATTGCCGTTTGTAGAGTCCACATTATATTTAGCTTCTTAATTTAGGATTAAACATCTGTAACTTATTGTTAGGACATCCGGAGAGTTTGCAAAACTCTATAATATGAATATTGTCTCTCTCTTTAGTCCTGTAGTGTCTCTAAAGAAAATTGTTTTGGTCCCATTTTTAAAGATTTGCTGATGGTCAAAAGAACCACTATATAATTTTAGGGCGAAAAAACTGAGGTCTTCTGCAACGTGTTGTTGACATGTTTTCACCCAAATCTGCCACCAGTTGACCAAGGATCCTGACAGTGGTTACCCTTCCGGCTTCCTCTCATACCCCAATGGGATACAGTGGAGCAGAGAAAGGACAACTTCCTCTCTCACTCCTCTGCCTGTGGGTGAGGACCCATGGCACTGTGCTAACACCAGCCTTGGAAGGTTTTAGAAATGGCCATGACTCTGCTGAGGGCCAGGCTTCCCCAGTAATGTTTGGGTGGCATATAGGATGATTTATTCTCCAAACATTGAATGCATATATAGTGATTTTTTGATGCTAATATAGCTGAGGGGCTTAGGATTTCTGAAGGACCAAGGAAATGTAGGTGAACTTGAATCTTTTATTTACAAATGTTCTCAGGTGAGTTCAGTTTTGTTTCTTAAAAATAAGGTCAAAGAAGGCTTTCAAGAAAGAGCTGCATTGAAGTTGAGCTTTCAGAAGGACAATGATGATATTGGAATAAAATTCAAGGGTAGGTATTCTGGCCAGGAGAGTAGTGTGGGCAAAGCAAGTGGGAAAGTTCAGGGGCCTTTAAATATTGCTCCGAGTTCCCTGGGGGCACTAGAAGTACAGATGAGGCTAGAAATGTTCTGCAAAATTCTACTCCCAAATTTTTGGCATTGTTCTTCTTCCCCTGGAAAGTCTTCTCTGACTTGCTCTGATGTTGGGTTGAGTGTCCTTTCTCAATGCTTCTGGAACCTTCTACCTTTGTTCTAATGCAGTTGTTAGTGCCATTTATGCATTTGTCTGTTCTTATTTGATATCCTCTGTTTTAAGCTTCTTACAGAATTCTTCTTAATGTCCTGGGTAGTGCCTGGTGGGTGCTTAACAAATAATTTGTGAATGGAATGAATAATGTAAGCTTTTCCTTAAATAATACTTTTTTTGAAAATTAAAAAAAAATTGTTTCAAAGGTCTTTAGACCAGTAATTGTCTTAAAGGCATAAAGTGACTAATAATAAATATAGATATATTTTGTAATTAAACTGCAAAAACTGAAGCATATACTTGACTATTACAAAGAAACAAAATACAACACCAGATAAGTACCTTCTGGATCAATCCAAAGAATGTTTTTAATTAAATTGCTAAAAGAATCTCTTTATAATGGAATTTCATCTATAAGATGGCTTTCCAGCATACAGGACCATTTGAGTAGTAGTATACGTATGAGCAGAGCCTTATGGTCTGCTGGGGAAAGGCTCTTTTGGAGAGAACCCTGGTCCCGGAATGAGAAAACATGGGACCGAGCACTAACAATTGGTACTTGAACCTGAAAAAGATACTCCAAGTTTCTAATCTTTATTTTCATATCTGCATCCTTAGAAACACAATACCAGTTCTACTTGCTTTGCAGAGTTGTGTGAACAATAAATAAGATAATGTAGACACGAGATAATAAACTACAAAGAATTTTTCTTCATCTTATCATAATGGTGCATAAAATAAGTTGAATTGATCTCCCGAATCCCAGGATGTCTTTGTTTACTAGTTGAGATATTGATTTCAGACCTTAGGACTTTAGATCTGATTTTCGATCCCTGGATTATACCCTGCTTCCTCTTTTTAATCTGACAAGGAAAAGTGTACAAACCACTGGTAGAGGAATGTGTGTCCTTGGCAGGACATTTTATACTCTCTGGCATTTAGTTCTAAATCCCGCAGTCAGATCCAGCCTCCAGGTAGTTTTTGTGTTTGGCTTATTGGTACTTGCATGAA